GGTATTTTGAGGTGGTGTTGGGGTGATTCTCAAAATTTAAAAAAAAAAAATTATTTTTTTTTGTTTTGAGAAACTAACAAAAAGAACGCATTTTCAACAATTTCAAAACAAAAACTCAAAATACAAAACTCCAAATGAATTCAAAACTCAAAACACAAAACACAAAACAGAAACACAAAGAGAACACGTCATTACTTTTTCAATGTTAACTTATTAATAAACACTTCTTTTGTTGTAAGACCCCTTCCTCTGTATCTTTGCATTTCTCTACCATTAGAATCTTTCCTAGTTTTTTGAAGCTCATTTATGACCATATATAATTCGAATAAAATAATTTTGAGTGTAAATTCACAACTTTTCTTCACTTTTAACCAAACATGATCACTTTTTATAAATTTTCAATAAATATGCTCCCACTTTTGGGTTATCTGTTCATGTTTAATATAGTAATGCTATTTATAATTATGCTTAATGGACAACGTTAGATACTTAAGATGTACATCTTTCACTAACAAAATCGCTATTGAAGAAAATGGGTCTTTAATTTAATTTGAAAAAATAATTTCTAAACACAATAAAAACACTTTAAATGAAATATTTAATAAGTTTGATTAATGGAACATATATTAAGGGGCTGTTTGGGCCGGATTTTTTCACCAAAAAAATTGATTTTTTGACCGTTATTTTACTATTCCAGCCGTCATATTTGATTTCTTCTTTCACAGGTGGACCCCACTTTTCTCCTAACAGTCAAAAAATCAATTCTCAAAATTACTCCCAAACAGGCTCCTAATAAGTAACTTTAGTTTTCTTTAAAAGCACTTTTAATAGATCAAGATATTTTTAAAAAAATTATTGAACACATGATAAAAAGCAACTTAGGAATCATTTGACATGATTTTTATTTTTACTTCTTATTCTGTAGAAGAGTTTTTCAAGGAAGCTATTATCATTTTTGTTCAAAAACTAATTTTTAAAAGAGTTTTATATTTCGAAAATGAAGTCACATAGGACCAACTCCCTCTAAAAGATCTTCTAACTAAAACAAACACTTACATAAAATTAATTAAACTAGTTCAAAAATAATTTTTGAATCTCAAAAATTCTTTTCGACTTTTCAAAAGTTATACCATACGAATCCTTATTAATCTCATAAATAATTTTTTACTTTTTAAAATTACTATCAAACATGTTAAGAAAAGAGTTTAAATAAAATCTAATATTGCCTACGTATCCTTTCGGCTAACTTCTTGAGTTGGAGACAAGTGGAGTCGAACTATATAGGCTGACGATAGATAACGAGCTCGGCTCGGGCTCGTGACGAGCCGAGCTCGAGCTCGGCTCGGCCCACGAGCTTGTGACCGAGCCCACGAGCCACTCGTGAGCTCGTGTTTTTTTTTTATTTTTTTTTTGCACCTTTTTTTTTAAATTCAATTTTTTCGACTAGCCTAGCTCGGCGCGAACTCATCATTTGACGAGCCCGAACTGTCCACGAGCCTAATTTTTATGAGCTGAGCAGCCGGATCTACGAGCCGCTCGGCCCGTTTGACATCCTAAGTGAATAGACAATAACTTGGGGGGGAGAGAGAGAGAGAGAGAGAGAGAATTTGAAGTCGGCTATGAAGTTTGACCAATGCCAAACTTTCTAAGCAACAACTGCAATTCAATTTCAGTTTGTTGAATGCTACATCTGTATCATAGTTTAGTCTTTGAATTTCCTTTGGTTGAAATATGTTGAAATCAACGCCTTCATTTCCACTCTTATCTAATTATCCTTTCATAATTTTTTCTTTGCGAAGTGCGATTCCACTTGTAAATTTTAACACGCATACATGTTCCTTGATTACAACGCATTTTCTGTTTTCCCACATGAATTTTGACTAGTTTTTTCTCTACACATTTTCTGCAATTAATTCCCAGTTCAATTTTATTTATTTATTTTTTTCTGTACCCTTTTATCTCTGTTTTTTGCTTTCTATTTTCCATCCAATCATTTCGATTTTCTGTATTTTTATCTCTTTTTTTGTACCCCCGTTTCTGTCCACCTTTCAGCAGAATTTATTTGTTCAATTTCAAAAGCTTGTGCAGAAAAAAAATTTTGTGGGCTTAAAGGACTTTGTATTTTTTTTATTGTTTTTTGAAAAATGATGAAGTGTTTTACGATATTCAAAGACAAGTCGAAATCCAAGAAACGGAGATCGGCGCCGGAATTGACTAATCACAGAAAATCAGATAATTTGGATTTAAGACGTGTATCTAAGTCCACTGATTCATATTCATCCCCTCGGAGTATAAAGGAAATGTACAAAGAAAGAGAGCAGAATTTGAGGGATTTTTCATTGTTTGAACTGAGGGAAGCAACTAATAATTTCAACAGGCTGCTGAAGATTGGAGAAGGTGGTTTTGGGAGTGTTTATAAAGGAACAATTATGCCTCCAAATGGGTTGGGGGATTCCATGGTGGTTGCCATTAAAAAACTCAATACACAAGGATTACAGGTATTTGTTTCGCGTTGATCTAAAATCTTGAGCCATTAAAGAGTCCATAAATCTACTAATTGAATCATTTTCTACATGTTGTGGGACATGCGCACAATTTTTATAAATGGGTAGCAAAATCCAGGCCTTTTTTATATTTTGCAGAGTTGAACCACTTCATTGAATGGTTTTGGTTAAAGACTGGACAGATTTATTCAGTTATATTTGTTCAATATGTGCTTTCTGAGCTTATTTCTTGAACCTCATCTATGCATAATTTTTATGAATGGATGATGGAGCAGGAGAAACTTTTGCTTGGTTTGGTACTATTTCGGACCTCCTCGTCAAAAGCTTAGAGATTAGGCGATTTTCTCCATTTAAATTGTATTTAACAGTTCTCATGTTGTGGGGTGATTGATTCCTATTTCACCTCATGTTTCTACACCACTGTTATTTCTTATGAAAGTGAGGGATTGGATTATCAATTTTCTGATAATTTTGAAGCTAAGTGCAAATGTATTATGTTTAGTGATGAAAGAGTTAATTTAGCTTAAATGTGGAATTAAACATGGTGAGATACTATGGAAATTGGAACTCAAGGCTTCAACATGATAGGGAATGATATTATTCATTCTGATATATTTTATGGCCCAATCTCATAAATGTGAAAATTCGGTTTTTATTTTTACTAAATCTGATATCTAAGAATGATTGTCGTATAAATAGCAACAAGCATTTTTTAGTTAAACAAAGACGATGTAACTGTAGAAGTACTATTTGAGATTTCGTTTAATGTAGTATTTAGCTAAAAAAGAAAGAGAAAGACTTACTGAGATGACAGAAAGGATGCATTTGCCAGGAAGTGCATCTCACTTATGATTAACCAAGATAAAAGTGGATTCTAATTCTTATGACAGGAATAGACGATATTAGCAATGCAAAATGTTGGTTTTGTTTAAATCATCATGTCCTGATTAGATACCTTTATCTTGCTGAGTTACTTTGTTTAGTCTTAAATATAGAACAATAATTTGACTTGCATGTATGACTTTCCACAATGGGTTCTCGAATTTCTTTTGAATTATCCTTAGAATGTCTTCCATGACAATTTATTTACTTTATTAGCCCAAAAACTTTGTTACCTCAGAATGATCTCCTTCCAATTTCACAAAAATATGTTTATAACCCTCGTTCATTAGTTACGAAATTAATATTTTTTTTATATTTCCTAAAATTTTATGTATTTTTTCGGGTTCTAAAAATATACATCTGAATTGTTTGTACATCATATAGGGCCATAAACAATGGGTTGCAGAGGTCCAATTCCTTGGAGCTCTGGATCATCCCAACCTCGTAAAGCTTTTGGGATACTGCGCTTTGGATGGAGAAAGAGGAATTCAACGCTTATTAGTTTACGAATACATGCCCAATAAGAGCTTGGAGGATCATCTTTTCAACCGGGCAATGCCAACAGTTCCTTGGAGCACAAGACTACATATTATTCTTGGGGCAGCTCAAGGAATGGCTTATCTACACGAGGGCGTGGAAGTTCAGGTACCTCTCTTTTGGTGTGGTCTCTTTTTTCAATGTAATTGTATAGAACTCTGTTTAACAATTCTTTGTCATGCATCAACAGCAAGAAATTCTTGAGCTTTTGAGAATATCATGAATAGTAACTTGAGGTACAAGTTGTTTAGCTATTTTTTCTTGTCCTCTATCAGCAGGTGATATATCGAGATTTCAAATCCTCAAACGTTCTTTTGGATAAGGATTTCAATCCCAAGCTTTCCGACTTTGGACTTGCAAGGGAAGGTCCAACTGGAGGCCAAACTCACGTGTCTACAGCAGTAAGTAGTGAAATGATTAAGTTGAGTTGAATGGGAATTTAGATACTGCGAAATCCATCTTGAACGCATTTATTCAAACAAGGATTTACTTGTCTGTGGCTGTTTGGTACACAGTTCACTTGATAAGTAGTTGTTTGAACTATTTCGCATTTTTTTTCCCAGCTAGATATCCAAAAATACCTATGCTAATACAAACCTACAGTGTGAAGAAAATTCATTTTTTATTTACGGCGATCTCTCTTTTTAATTAATTTGATCCAAATTCCTAATCCTTAGTTTTTGTTTAGTTTACCTAAACTCAGGAACTTCAACTGCAAAATCATACCCCAGACCTTAATCAATATGTATTTTTGCTCTTATAAGAACTGTTTTGTGGCTATTTCGGGTTCTCAGAGTATATTAGGCATTCTATGCATGTTTTCGGTCGCCTTAATGTTTCTATATTATATAAAGGATTATTTATGGTGCTGTTTTTCAGAGTGATACAGACTGAAGTTTAAGATCGCAAATCATAATTCCTTTTCATTTAATGTGAATATTTGTAGCAGCTGGTGCACATAGCTTTCACGTTAAGAGTAAATTAGCATCAGAAATTTTGTGTATTTGCTTGCATGTTTCTAATGTTATTTGCTTAACATTGTCCTCGTGATTGAGATGATGGCTTAGTCCCTAACATTTTAAACTTTATGGTGTTAGCCTATTGGGACACGTGGATATGCTGCCCCCGAATATGTCGAGACGGGTCGCCTTACAATCAAGAGCGATATATGGAGCTTCGGAGTTGTGCTTTACGAGATACTCACAGGAAGGCGGACTTTGGAAAGAAACCTCCCAACTGTGGAGCAGAAGCTTCTAGATTGGGTGAAACATTTCCCAGCTGATAGCAAGAGATTTAACATGATAATGGATCCCCGGCTCCAAAACCGATATTCCTTAACTGCGGCCAGGAGAATTGCCAAGTTGGCAGATAGCTGCTTAAACAAAAATGCGAAAGATCGGCCGGCTATGAGTGAAGTGGTCGAGATCTTGAAGCAAGCAATTCAAGATTCAGAATAACTTCAAATGTGAGAAGTCCTCAGTCATCTAGAACTAAACTGTCTGCCTCAGATAAACCATTTAGCAGAATAGAAGTTACCAATGCTGGTAGAGAGATGGCCCGTACTGTTCAGGCTTGAATGTAAAGGACAAAACGGTCATATTGTGCATATCTGAATATTTTCTTTCCTAGTCAATTCACTGTAACTCCTTGGAATCATTTTCGTTACTCCTGCATAGGATTAACCAATGCTAGTAGAGAGTTGGGGATATTTTTGTGCTTTCTATTTCATTCCTTCTGAAGAGCGAAGTTTCATAAAAGCAAGTACAAGAGTAAATCCTTATACCAAAAAAAAAAAAAGGGGGGGGGGGGGGGAAA